TCGAGTGTGGGAGAAAGCACTGCAAGGTTCCTTCCCGCAACTGGACTAGCAAAGAGAAACCTACCTGAACACGAAACACCACGCACCATCCCTGCTCCCCCTCCACAGGTTCCCTCTTCCTCTACAGCTCCACACAGAGCAGCCTTTGCTGGAGTCACGACCCTAACCTAAGCCTAGCAAACCCCTGCTTTAAAAACTCTCGGCAGTTCTTTCCCTGTCAGGATGCGTCCTGGTCTGAGGGCGAGAGTGTGGTTAGAGGAACAGCTTCCTATTCCCTGTCACTCCTCAGGGGATCTGAGAGCTTCATCTTACCATCTGGCAAGAGCCCTCTGCCAGACCCTTTTGGGTGGCAGCTACTGTGTATCATGCCAAGCCCCCTTCCTTGGGAGTCTGAAAGAATCTTTTCTCCTCTAATTCCCCTCGTGGCTTTGCCAGACTGAGGTTTAGCGAAAGGCAGGTGTCCCGAGGTTCCACAAAACCTGCCTTTCGCTAAACCTCCAATTTTTTTGAGACAGCTTCTTTTTCTTTAAGCTGTCATGTCATGGGAAACTGCAGGGATCTTTGGCCTCCAGCTGAAAAAACTCCACTCAGACGGAGTTGAACAGTCAGTCTTTGACTGCTCTACAAAATGAGAATTCCAGCCCCACTCAGTTACGCAGCTCTTACTCAGACTTGCAGAAGGGGGAACTGGCACTGTGACGCTTTCGACACAGACACGATGGATCAGTGACACCGAGATGCTTGCCTGCCTTCCCTGCCCACCCACTCCAACAAATCACTCCGGGGGAGGACAGTCTTCAACAGGAAATATGCTTTAAATATATCTAACTGTAAACTCAACAGCTCAGCTTTATAATTTACCTTACTGCATTATATCTTCCTACATAAGAATATTTACAGTAACTAGCACTTTTATATTTGTTCCCCTTACCAACTTTAAACTTCTCAGTATGTATGCTCCATTTCTTTGGTGTTCTTAGACTGTTACTTTTGCTTGTAAGTAAAAGTAGCAAATATGTATTTCCCTCTCTAATTCTAGCTGATGTTTCAGTTGCCCTATGCTTTCCAAGTGAAGCATCCTTCCTACAAAAGTTGCAGTCTTGACTCTGAATGAGTCCTTTTTCACAACTATTCCAAGCATGAAACTGGCTAAAAATATCCTGCCTATCCTACGTCCAACAATTATTTGGGATTATGGTTGCTGTCTCCAGATAGAATATCTCATTTATTGTTTTCATATCCATTGACAAAAACAGGTCTTGGCTTTCAAGCTCCCCAAAAAGAAGCCTGTCTTTTATCCCAAGGCTGAACAACTGGAGCCCAACGATGCCACAGACCACGAACACCAGATATATCTGACAACAGCTCTTGGACACTGCTCCACCACGAGCAGCAGACTCGGGGAAAGCACCCAGCTAGTTACAGCAAATTGACAAGGCAACGCAAGACCTACACCGAGTGCCACCCATGGGAAGGAAGTAGAAAGGGCACGAAGATTAGATACAACAGCCCTCAGCTCACCAGCCCAGTCACCCACAAGCTTATCACTAGAGACCAGCCGTAAGGAGCTGTAGACAGAAAGCAGAGCCGATGTATTCCCAGCTAAACAGCTGTGTCAAAATAAAGATTCTGAGGACATGAAAAAACTGCAGATGGTGAAAAATGGCAGCTACAATCAATAGAGCAAATGATGACAAAGAGAAAAATACGTCTTACAGCTTTTCCAGATCACTCATTACCCTGACAAAGTGGCTGATGCTGATCTTTCCTTTCGCAGGCCGGGCTGAGATGGCCTTTGTGCCAACCAAGAGGAAAAGTAACACCAAATCCACGACGCGAGGAAGTACCCAACAACAGCCTGGATCCTTACCAGCAGACAGAGGTGAATTTTGTATCCTTGTTTTTAGCTATTAATTGTGCTGAGTCCTTCGACCAGGTTCTCCGTTGATGCCAGTATCAAGGGAGCTACATCTTCTCATACCAGCCAAAGGGCTGGCCGCTGATTTATGGCATAAATTACAGACCTATCGCACATAATTTACACTGTTTTCATTTAAACCACATGAAAATACAAGCCCATCCCTTTGCTTCTCAAATAATTCAAGACCAAAATTATTGATATTGGCTAACAAATATCTAGTGAAATGAAAATATTTTATACTAACATTTTAAGTGTTTTGTTGAAAACGTGAAGAAAAATACAAGCTATCAGTAAGCAGTTCCTCTGAAAAGAAACCATTACTTTTTTATGGAGAGATAATTTGGCTGAAATGCCACAAATCTTTCAGTGACAAAACCAACAGTATTACTTTTCTCATATATTTGTTGTTGAAGTCAGCTCTGTGCACTGGCAGTAAAAAAAATATACTCATTTGTTTCAGATGAAAACCTTTCTAATACAGAGCCAATCTTTAGGGCAACGCTTGCCTTTAGAATGGTGATTAGATCACTTAGCTTTCTTAAACGAAAATTTCAGCTAGATTAAAACTGGATTCTAGAGAAATCAGCCAGCTGCTATTCTGTTAAACCTTCCTTTACATGGAAAGGGGAAAAAGGAAATTCTGTGTTCTAAGCTCTGCTTTTTTCTTTCTTTTGGTAGCAAATGCCACCAAGCAGACTGCACCCCTGCCAGTGTGTTTACCCTCGTGTGCACTGAAAGCAGAGCTGAGATAGGAGCTTCTAACACTGACACCGCCGACACATAATTCCCAAAGAAATTAATGAGCTGAGTTCAAAATTCTCTCAAGCATTGTAATTTACTGGCTGCAGCTGGTGTGAAGACAGTCTCTGGGGGGGCTCTCTGGAAGGGAATCATACTGTTTAATTTCATGCTGCTAGTTTATGTGCTGCGTTAGAAGACTGCTTCCCCAAGGGCTCTCCCCTCCTCCCCGTCACGAATACCTTTTTAACAGAGAAAGGGTCTTTTACAGGACGACGTAGAACTGAGTTCAGATGCCCAAACTCAGCCTCTGAAATACCCACTCTTCTCTGCAAGCCAAGCCACACTGCCTGTTCTTTCCAAAGGGCTCAAGTCCACACAAGCATCTAATCCCACCTCTGATAAACAAGTGAAAAGGCCCTTGCCTGAAATTTATGCCACCAGGCAACGGGAATAAGCCCCTCCATCTCTGTCTCTCCTTACCTCTTTAATAATCAGCCATCTAAGGATGCAAAACACACAAACAAATGAAGAGTAAGTGGACTCATGCTTAAATAATATATGTCAAAAGATTCAGTGAAATGAAGGTTCATCCTGAATACTGGGAGATTCCATAATTAGACAGAAAAGACGATAAAAGATTCCCACCCCTTGGGTCTCTGTATAAAGATTAGAGAGGGAGAGACAAGTACGTGTTCAGACTAATGGAAGAATACCTTACCAGCACTTCAGTCATTGCAGGATATTTCACGTGTCCGTGTCTCAGCATAAACGGGACTGTTTAAAACTGGTTAATTTCTCAGCAATCCAGGCAAGGAGGGAGATGATAAAAGAGCCAAAAGCTCTCACAGGAGGTATGAATGAGCAATTAAATGTTAAAAATAGATAAATAAGTATTTACATTCCCACATCAAAGAGTAACAAGAACAGCACTATAACACACCGTGCCAAGGCAGAGAGGAGAGATCAGCCTCTCTGGTGGAAGATACCAGTAGCTGGAGGGGTGGTACCGCTTTGCCGTACAACCTTTTAATAAAATGCATTGGGTCTTGGAAACAGTGGAGCTGTACTACTTATCTGCATGTCTTTTAATTTGCCTGATGCTTATGCATAATGCATCAACCCTGTCTTTGAGCTACTTTCAAAACAGTTTGTTCAAAAAATTGGACTGAGTCGCTAATGACAGGCTCCTCTGGAGGAAGACAGAATATGTTCTGTTTTTGTCCATATGTTTTGTGACTGGTTCTGTGGAGCCAAGACTACGCTCCACAGAACCGTGGACGGCTATGATGGCAAAATGAGACAGTGACCACAGCACCAGGCACCATGCTCTGCTGGAGAGCCCTCCCCATCGCAACCAGCAAGCGTAGTCTCGGCTCCACAGAACCAGTCATAGGCAGCTTGAAATTCACTGTGCAAAAAGCTCATTTCAATTGGTTACACGAGGTAGTGCTCTCCGTCATGGACTTTGTGCCCTGGCTTGCTTGAACTGGTGGTTTAGCATGTTCTTTTGGTTTGGTTTTAGTTTAAGGAGGAAATTCAAGGCAGGAGTCCAGGGATTAGCACTGATACTGCTGCAGTCTGTGACAACACTCAGGCTTTTACCGTTAGAACCCTTTGGTGCCAAGTACTACACGAAGTAGAAACTTCAAGCCAGTCCCACCTCAAAGAGTTTGCAGTCTGCTCCCTTTATTCCAAAGCAAACGGAGCCAGGTGTGGGAGCCTGCTGGGAAATTCAATAACAGCGGGCACACACTTCGCTGCGGGTTGCACCTGTGCTCATAGGCGGAGTACGGCGAAGACATAAAACGAGTGCTTGTAAAATACGAGAGATAACAATGACCGATACCTTTGCTCCACTTAAAAGAGTTTTGTCATTCAGATGGCAGTCCTTACTCACGCGATCACAAGGCGTACTATAATAAATAACGATAAAAGAGCAGTCCAAAGAGTAGGTAACTCCAGCCTGCTTGCTTCCTGCTCTCTCCTTCCCTGCTGCCACAAGATGTCTGACAAAGTCCCGGGCAGCAGAGGTCTGCCAAGTTAGAGCATGCCATTTAGCACTGACAGACTAGGGCTGATTGGAATGGTCCCTTCTGCTACATATTTTATTACATTTCCTCTGTTTTTCCATTTAATATTCCGCAGTACCTGCTACTAGGTTACAGCAGCAATAATTTCTGAATTGCTTTAAGATAACGCCCCTAGCGATAGCTACAAAACCAATCGAAACAGTCCCTTACCTGGCAGTACTTTCTCCTGTAACACCTGTCTTTCTAGATGTGCATTTTATGGAGAAGATCCCAGGTCATCTGAAGTTTCTCAATTTCCACTTTTCCAGCAACTTCTACTAACTCTGAAGTGGACCTTGACAAAGCCAAGTCTAATGAGAACAAAACACAGGGTAAGGCATGTCCTCATGAAAAACAGCCAGAAGAAGAGATACCAAAAGAACCAATGGGACCAGGACCATATTTTTACATCAGTGGATCCAACGGAGCTGAGCTGTAAGTAGGTCCTCTCAGCAGACTCATGTGAACAGTACTATAACCATATAGGAAGCCACGCAATATTATCCAGTATCCATTGGCCTCAAATAATTTCCCTTTGATTTGCTGTCTTTTTGGAGTGGTACACCTGGGGAACTATTTAAAAATAATTCAGATAGGAAAGTACCCACCGTCAGGCCACCTGTGGTAAAGTTGCTAACTACTATAGCTTTGCAGGGAAAAAAAAACCCTCTATTTGTTTAACAAAAAGTTTCTCTGTTGGGGCTGTTCAGGAATCACTCTGCAACATCATGTAGCAAATCTGCCAGCATCATCACCAGAGCTAGGAACCGCTGTTGTTGATCGACATTCTGTTGTGCTAAACATAAAACGAGCGAAAAGTAAGAAGAGATTTCTGCCCAACAAAACTGTCAGATCGAAAGTTCCATTCGTTGCTTTGAGTTCTCTCCAGCGTGCCGTCATTCCTCTCTAGAAGTTGTCACCAGCAAGCACCACAGAATCTCTGCTGCAAACAGCACTTTCCTTCCTATGTTTCCATAGTTTTGTCTACAAACAGCTTTTTCTCTTGCTGCTTGTTATCTTCCCCTAACTCCTCAGCAGAGAGGCTCCTTATTACTTGTTATCTCTCCCTAACTCCTCAGCGGAGAGGCTCCTTATTAAGACTGGACCCTGACCATCTCTATACCGTGGGTACCACCTGCATTCTAATTGGACAAACCCTGCTGAAATGATTCGAGTTCTCATTAGAGCTGCTGAACTTTTCTTAGCATCCTCTGTTTCTCCTCCACCCCCTCAAGTCCAGACCAGCAGGTCCACTAGCAGCTGTTCTAATTAATGCTTCCCACCTTATCCCCCACCCAGGAGCTTCTGGGCATGTTAGGTCAGGTTCCCAGAGGAAATTATTAGGAGTTCAAGGGATATGAGCTAACTAAGCATTTATTAATAGAAGGGAGGCTACTTTGTTATTTTGTTTTCCATATGCAGTGTGAGCATCTATTGCCAGAACAGAGGCTGGCAGCGTATCTATGACAACAGAAGAGAGGATTATGCACTGAAATGGTGTGAAATCAAGTGCCGAGAGACCTATTACCATTTCAAAGAAGGTAGAGGTGCCTGTGGGCCTTGAGTGGGAGAGGGCAGTGGGAAAAACTTGGGAATGCTGGACTTGTGACCCAGGGCAGAGAAGGTCATCTGGGGGGAGGAGAAACAGGTAACCTCAACTTCTTGGCAGACCTCAGAGGGGACATCGAAGCTGGATCGCCATGGTGATTAAAGAAAGAGTTTTAGCCAAGAAAACAGCTTTGGGAGAAAAGATACCATTGCAATGAACTAAGTATAGTGAAATGTGGTCCTTCCTCCAGATTTGAGCACCAGCTGCAGTAGGATGGACACAGCACGCAGTCTGCTCCGGACATGGTTTAGCAGGCACGGTGGTGATGGGTTGACAGTTGGACTGGATGATCTTGGAGGTCTTCCAACCTTAATGATTCTATGATTAGTCTACGCCTTGCATACGGAAGGTGCCTCACATTTAGAGACGCTCCCCACTGTGGAGGTGGGCAGAGGAGAAAAAGAAGGAAGGCTGCACTGGAAGACAGAAGTAAAGCACGCTCAAGATGGGTCACCCCACACATCCCAGGCCCAGCTATCTCTATGTAGGAAGAACAGAGTCACTAAATGCCAAACTACTCCACTGTATTAGCAAGTAACTTTTTAAATTGAGCTCTGCTCTTCGTCTCATCAGTGCATCCTGACTTCACAGGGCCCAGCCAGCTTTCCCACCAGAAAGGCATAAAATCAAGGACTCCCACAGCAATTTCTCTGGCCGGCACCCTCGAGCAGTACTTTGTATAACAAACACAAAACTCCCTGAGCACAGCTCTGGGGCAATTCTTTTAATTCTGGGAGCTGGTCAGGACCCGTGCCCTGGCAAGCCTGAGCATCATGGCACAGAGCTGCTGCCTCTCCTGTAGCAGAGGGAGTGTGTTACCACTTCCCTACCAGTCCACATACTGCAGCTGCCTTTCCCTCCTGCCAGCTCCGACGGCAACGTGGTGGCTGCTTGTCAGGCTGCACCATTACAGCAGTTGGCCTAATACATGGCGGTGCAGATAAGGCTGTGTTTCAACACAATTCTGCAGCTGGAATGGTGTGATGGCAACGGCACCTTTGGAGCAGGCAAGAGATGCACTATTCCATGAAGCCCCATCAGGTTGGTCTGTTTCGCTGCAAGGTTGGACAGAAACGTGTTTGCAGCAAGTGATTTCACTGCTCTCTGAGTTGTGAATAAACAAATAAAGCAAACTGGTGAAAGTCCACAGTGAACAAAGGCAGCTTCATCCTGCAGATTCTGCTGCATGGGACAAAGAGGGTAAGCTTTTTTTTGTTTTCTTCTCATGCAGGTGAACAGCTTCTCTATCAGATTCCCAACAATGGAGTCCTCACCAGTAAGATAGGGCTTTTATGCTGCCTGAGAGAGCAAGAGCGGGTGATGAAAAAGATCAGCAGGAGCTCTAATTCCAAGTAAGAACTCTCAACTCTTTGAACCCTGACCAGAAACACGCCAGCAGAAAGTGAGAGCACATAAACAAAGGACCAGTTTCTTCTGGATGGATAACAGTACAGGATATAAAGTATATCGGCTTTTATGTCTTTCTTATCTACTAGAAAAAAACCACTTTTTTTCCAGAATTACATACATCAGAGAGAATTTCTTCTTTTTCTACATCTGGAGCTGTAAGGGTGCCAGGTCCCCCAAAGACAACAGTCACAGTAAAATTCCCTTGGTTTGGGGACATCGTCCTACTACAAAGGCCACAACTTCTTGTGTCATAGACACTGTAAATGTAAGAGAAGCTTATTGCCATTTCTGCTCCTACATTTTTGACTTACCAAAAAATCAAATGGCAATCCTGTACCTGCAGTCTTCTCAACTAGTTTTCAAAAAAACTGAGCATATGAAGAATGTCTTAAGGCTAACATATATTCTTGAAAGCTTGTGGAATGAGGCAGCTCTGCATACAACAAATACACAACTGTCTACAAGCAGGAGAAAAAGCACCATTTCTTAAGTTTCTGCTTGCAACCATCCTTTGTGAAAGTAACAGAGGAATGAATGTGCTGGACAGGGTTTTCAACTTGTACTTGATTCTCCCATAGGTTACTGAAGATGGAAGAATTCTTCCCACAATCTTTTCGCCTGGACTTAAAAGATGAGAGAAACGCCTTTTTTGAGCTTTACAAAGGTGAATTATCTTAATCATGGTGGCAACCAATTTAAATAGCTATGTGATCCTCTAAAATGTTCATAAAAGTACACACAGTGATAATAATTGATACCTATATGCATGTGTATGTATATACATATGCACACGTTCAAGTGAGCAGTTCTCAGGGCCCACTAATGGGCACATCAGCATTTCATACCACACACTTTACTGTAACAGACTTATTCTCTCTGTAGAAGAACAGATTTGGATCTGCAAACCAAGTTGCTCTAACCAAGGTCGAGGAATTTTCCTGCTTAAAAATCCAGCTGCTGTCAACACCCTTCAAGCCGAGCTCCACAGCACTGAGGAATACCGACTCAGTAAGAAGGTGCTACACAAGGTTCCCCAGGCAAGAATCGTGCAAAGGTAGAGACTGAAGCCTGGGAATTAATGTGTGAGTTGTGTGCTTCATTAAGCACGCTGGCCTCAGAGAGCTGAATTGTTCCATAGCTATTTAATGTGGTTACACCGCATCTCATCAGCCTGGGAGATTTCATTTTGTGGGAGAGGGGCTATTTCTCTGGTTAGTCTGTCTTGCATCTGCACCTCAGTCATTTCAAGGTAGATCTTTGTCATCAGAAAGATTTGAGTTTATCTTTGTCTGCAAATTTAAGAATGACTTCAGAAAGCCAGATGCTACAGCTCTGTACATGAATGCTATACACCAAACCTTGTGCAAAGCAATTTAAATTAGGTATTATCCCAGCTTCTTATACAAAGCTAGCATTTTACAAATGGTAAAGCTACATTATCTGTTCCATACAATCTATTAAAGCCTCACAAATATCTTCCTCACTCTGCCTCAATGCTGCAAAAGTCTATACCTCAATCATCAGGCAGTAGCTAGCAGTCATTAAAATATTTGGTTTGGGTTGTTCGGTTTTATTTTTTATTCCTTACATGAGTAAAAGAACCACAAAGGTGGTTCTTTGTAGAATATATACCCTCTCAGCCACTGCTAGAACATTTCGTAGAGTGGCAGAACAACATAAAAAGGAAGGGAAAAATAAGGCGGCAGAAATCATGGGAACAGTTTCAGCTACTGAACATTACCTGCTTAGTCTTACACAACTCACTTGACTGCCCTTCGCCTCAGCGTCCCTCCCGCAATTGAGGAATGCATTATAATTAAATTACTTCAGTGCTTTGAGATGACTGAATAAAACTTTCAGAGAAATGCAAAAAAGATGTTTTCATTATTTATCCTAGGAGCTGCAGTTCCCAGCTGCCTTTGACACCGCTTTTGGTGTGCACAGCTAGGCACACAGGGCACTCGGAACTTCAAGGTGCCCACACATGCATGACATTGCCTGGCATCATCATGAGGTGTCAGCAATGACAATGTGATACACTCCTGTCTACGCTGTAGTATTGGCATGGCAAAACCACGTTCTGCCATGTAGTGATCACTGCACGTCCTGGCAAAGTGATGGTACCAATTCCGCACGCTGGCCCTGTGCCACTGCCCTGACATTCTGCCTTGGCATCTGTATCTTGCAAGAGAACACAGCGCACAGCAACCTTTCCAAGAGCTGCCCTAGCCAAAGCAAGCAATATTCTCCGCTTACATCCATCCAAACATTTATTTTCATAACAAAGGAATGGCTGGCCTCATTGAAAAGGCTACAGGAGATTTGTAAAATGGCAAACTGGAATGATGATGTTACTGGCTTTCTGCAATAGGCTGGACTGTGTTTATGCAGCAGCCGGTATGTGGAGCAGAACAACAGCCACCTGACCGTGTCAGACCAAGGGCCTTAGACCAATCTGTGGTCTTTGGCATGCACAAGCAGCAGTGCTGGAGGAAGAAGTGGTTGGACCCTATCTTAGATCTCATCTTGATTCCTATTAGCATGGCTTATGCTCTGAAGGATGAAGCTCGATACTACTTTGAAAACTGTTGCTAGCATTGATTGTTTTAACAGCATATCCTTGTTATTTCTGTAGACATGCAGCAACCTTTGATGATAAACGCAAACAATTCCCAGATCACATCGCTCTGGCAATAAAACCAGTGGTGCTGCATGAAGGGCTCTTTGTGTTCAGACATACACTTTGTATATTATCCAATAAATATTAGTAAATCTTTAATTACCTCCCGCTCTGAGACTCGAACAGCTTCTCGCCCTCTCAAAAGGAGCTGTTCTTGGCATTTCCAACCTCTCCTGCAGGCGCCCTCTGCTGCCATCCACCTTAAAACCGGTGCTGGAAAAAGGGACAAAGAGACCAGTTCTGTTGTGTGCGACGAACTGGCTGTGGGGCTTTGCGTGAGCTTTGAATCGCCGTGTACTATGGCTGCTTGTTAGTGACGCGTGTTGAAATACTTCTCTGACAGGTATATTCACCAGCCTCTGCTCCTGGAAGGGAAGAAGTTCGATGTCCGCTCTTACCTCCTCATCGCCTGCACTGCACCGTACGTGTTGCTCTTTGCCCAGGGTTACGTCCGGTTGACCTGTGTCAATTACGACGCGGCTTCTGATGATCTGACGGTTCATCTGACCAACCAGGTAAACTAAGGTCCCTCAGGGCCGAAGAAGGGAGGGGTGGTTGACAGAGACGGGAAGCAAAAAAGACTTTTGAAAGGCTAAAAATAAACGTCTCATGCATGCAAAATCGCTGCACCAAGGAAACGGATGCAGGCTTATGGTCAGGCGTAGCAACAAGGCTGAACAGAACCAGCACCAGACCAGGTTCTGTTGTCTGCCACGGACCAGTTCTCTGCTTAACCTGACTATTTCTTTCCCTGGCCCTCTTATTCCTGCCATTATTCTCTCATGTATCTGTAGACTATAAGCTTCCTAAGGCAAGAAGCTTTTGATTGCAGCTACCTAGCACAAAGAAGCCTTAATCTTGGCTAAAGATTTTGTTGATCCTCTTGTGCTTAAACACAACAACCCTAACGATGTAAGATGCAGATGTGTTCTTCAAGAGCCATCATTCCAAAATCTCCATCTTTGCTTGTCTTGCTCCTCAAACAAGACATAAATAGATATATTTAAAAGACTGTTCTGACTTGTATCCCCATACCTCATCACACAAAACAGAAGCCTGCCTTGCTCAGATCTACCTGTGATTTTGCTTCAAATAAGGCCCTTTGGTAGTTAGAATGTGCCCTGATGAAAGAGGATTAAAAGAATCAGAAGGAATGAAACACTTTGCTTTTAAAGCCCTTCTCTCCTTCCAGTGTCACAGTGTGCTCTGAGAACCAGCAAAATACACATCAGAGAGGTATCAGACAAGCCCACTTCAGCTGGAGTTTCACAGTTCCTGTAGCAGCACAGCTCAGGACAGCAGATGATAGCTGCTTCCTGCAATATATGCTATTATCAGTATGCCACTTGTTTCCCTGGACTAGCTTGTTTGCTGAGCTAGAGAGCTATCCACATGGGAATTCAGGTGCTGGGGTAGGATCCCATGGCACAAGTAACATTAAACAAAGGACAGGTGTTTATTAGCAGAAGGTAAATTATCTGGGTTCCTGCTGGGAGGAGGGAAACAGAATTTACAGGAGCGGCTGGTAACAGGCCAGACTTCTTCAAATTATAGTTGATTCTGCTCTCATTCCCTTCCTACCCTTTCATTCCACCTGGAATCAGCTATTTTCCTACCGTATTTCCGAAAGACACGAGGCAGCAGAGACAGCATCACCAACCAGAAGCTTTGTAGCCTCACAGAAACTGTCCCACTGCAGTTGCAGCAAAGCCCAGCCATTTCAGAGGGAAAGGGGACTTGCCTTTGACTGAAAAATGTAACTGCCCCATTAGTGATAAAGTCCAGCTGATGCAGGATTAATGAGACAGTGGAAGGGAGAAGCCCTCACCTGGGTTTCCTCTGGGGATACATCCATACATCTCTCCCAGATGTGCTCTCCTCTAGGAGAGTACTAGGCAGATAGACACTGGAAACAGATTTAGTCCAAAGAATATCATGACCATGACTTGAAAGCACCTCTCCCTGTCTGCCAGCCACTGCTCCAGACGTATCATACACACACAGGCAGAGAGAACACACCGCTTTGACAGCGACCTTGGGCAATTGTCTCTACAACGCCCACGTGGGTCAGGCACGTTTCTGCCTCTGGCAGTGCTGTACACCATGGGAGTCAGCCCATTTGCTCTGGTGCAGCTCTGCTAGCGAGGGGCCCTATTCCCTCCACCTCTATAACTTGATCCTGGGGTTCTTCCCAACTCCAGATGCCTGGAACAACTCGGGGTAGAGTTGGATGCCTGCCACGCAAGTCGGTTCCCAGTTACTCTTCACTGCCAGAAATCTAATCCTCCCTTTGCTCTGTTTCCCCACCTCGCAGTACATGCAGAAGAAGAACTCCCTGTACAGCCAGCTGAAAGATGAGACAGTTTGGTGGATGGAGCACTTCAACAGCTACGTTAATGAGAAGTTCAGAAAAACCAATGGCCTCCCCAAAGACTGGGTTTTCACTGTGTTTACTGTGAGTGCAAGCAAGTGTACGGTGTGCTAGCCTGCCTAATTAGGGTGACAGGAATAGGGAGAAAACCCATCAGTTCACCGGAGCCTCCAAGGAAAACACATACACCAAGTGAGAAGGTATTGATGGTCCCTTGGTAATCATTTATCTGCAGATGCTAAACACAGAAGTGAAGACACAAAGCATTTAATTCTAATAAAATGGGTAAAGAGCTGAAAAAGAGAGTGTGAATGTAAATGCTAGCTACAGAACCGCAATTATGGCCTTCACGTTCCTGGCCCAATGCTGTGGTCACGCATTAAAAAATGAAGTACACATTAGAGAGCTCTCCAGCCTGACAGGTCTTAGCCTGAAAAGGGACTTCACTTCCAGTGGTCTCTTTCTTGTCTGACTTGGTCTCACCCTTCACTTTCCTTTTCTGATTTTGCCACATGAAAATCATGTCAGGGCCTTAGATCTTATCACGGAGGAGAGATAACAAGACTCAGCTGGCTTGATTTCTTACCATCTTCCTGTCTCATTGAAGAAGCAAAGTGAAGAAACGGTCTGAGTCCCTGAGACTTCTTTTCATCAGCCTGAGTCTAATGATGCATCAGTTCCTCACACGACTTGCTGAGGTGAAAAAGGGAAGAGAACACAGCTTTCCCAGCTTAATTTTGGAAATGCTGTAGTTTAAAGCCAAACACAAAGAAAATTAAAAAGCTAAAAACTTTGTTAAAATATGCTTTTGTTTAGAAAAGCAGCTCAGAAGCAAGTCTAGTTGAATTTGTCAAGTTTCTCAGGGGATCAGAAACTTTTCAGCCAACTTTATGGTAACTCTCTGCATGCAGAGATTCCCCACTATGCAGTTCAGCTCCACACCGAGTGAAACTGAGCATCACCTACTGCAAGGCTTCTTTATAACACTGAAGGGGGTTGTGTCGCCACTGTCAGAAATGCCTGTGTTCAGCTCACATCTAGGTGTCCCCATAGGAGTAAATGAAAGAACACCACTAAAAATTCCAGACAGCTCATTCTGAGTAAGGGACAAGGGCCACGATTCCTTCATGCACCAGCGCAGCAGTCTGAAGAATCAAGTTCAAGAGAGCGTTTCGATCAACTCAAAGTGGACAGATGTACGGTCTGCAAAATGCAACAGCCTTCCAAGTCTAGAGAGGAGCTGTGCTGGAGGCAGGAGAAGAAAAAAATGTCCCTAAACCTAGAGGACACCTATGACTTACAGTGACTCCTATGCCCTTGGCATTCACAAGGACGAGTTACAACCGTTCCCTGTCTTCTCTTTCAGAAAAGGATGCAGCAGATCATGTTGCAGTGCTTCCTGGCAGCCAAGTACAAACTGGATCGCAAACTGGGCTACTTTGATCTTATCGGCTGTGACTTTTTAATCGACGAAAACTTTAAGGTACAAACGCAATATCGTCAAACGCCAAGTATGATATTGTCCAGCACGGTTGAGACAGGCTCTGGTGCTAGGAATTAAATAGAGCATTTAGTCAGTCAGCTGTGAAGCTCAGGATTCATTTTTTCTCCGCTTCCACTATCCAGCATCAAGACATGGCACCTGTCTTGCCTGCACAATTATTGCACAATGAAACCCTAGCGTTAACAGCTCAGGGTGGAAAGAAAAGTACTCATTGCAGCTGAAACTGTTCCGTGCAGAATTTACACAGGAAAGCCGAGCTCACAGTGAGAAGTATGGGAATTTTAATGCCCACTCAGTTTGTCCTTTCTCCAGAAACCAAACATGCCAGATGATCAGCCAGATAAACCAGCGTGTAATGCCTCTAACATCACATGAAGCATACTGATTTACACTAGCCGGGTATCCATCAAAGGCAACAAAGAACTTGCCCTCACCATTCTGAAGAATCAGTCGTTATTGATTCGGATGTCGGCATCAGCATCTCCATGTTCACTGTAGGTTCACCATTTAGCAACAGGTCAGCCCACTGAGTCTAATAAAATCTGCTAGAATTACAACTCAAACTTGTAAAGAGTGAATGAAACAGAGACAAGGAAAGCCAGAAGAAAGGGAAATGTTCAATACAGTGTTTGAGGTGCTTTCAACGCAGCACCTGGCCTAAACATAACAGAAAGCCATCTGGCAGATTCTGCTATTGCTAAAGCAGAAAGGAACTCAAACATATTCCAGCAAAGGGCAGTGGGAACAGCAAACCCTATGAAAGAACGGAATTAATGTATGCAGCAGTGGGTAAGGCACCCGAACAATAGCCGCCTTTGTACAGGAAGTCAATGGCACAGGAGAGTAAATGGCAAAGACGTAGAAACTGGTGCTTCTCACATTTCAGTGGGAATTGTCTTTTGCAACGTTGGCATGCAAAGTCCTGGCTGTGTAAACTTTAAGTAGAATAGAAGATCCAGTATCACTCTATTGTGGTAATTCCTACTTGGCTAGTTAAAAACTTCAACATATGGGGAGATAAACAAAATCTGTTTCTTGAATCGTATTATCTGTAAGAATCAGGTGGATTTCTGGACCCTTAGTGGTGACAGAGTCACTTGGAACCTGGAACTTCCCTTTGAGAGAGATTAGTGTGGAAATTTAGGCATTTATTTAGCATATTATTAGGTTTGTCCACGATTTCCTGCTGCTGCTGGGGAGCACCAAGTACTGGTGCAGTGCTGCATCAAGCGACACCCGCACGCTCCCTGCAGACGCAGCGTACCACAGCCGGACGCAGCACTGACAGCTTCAACCCACAGTTAACACAGGTCGGTGCAGCAAACTCCCACTTTTCTGTGGGCTGACATTACAATTCCTGGTCTGACATCATGTCCTCTCCACCTGGAGTGCACAGCAGCCTTATTCTCCGTCATTCTATTTCACAACACGTGTAGAATCTGCTTTATGCCGATTTAACACAGTCTTATGTGTTCAGTCCTATAGCTCATCCTGTCTATCCCTTCCTTATTTGTCTGAGATACAAATGCCCCCAGCATCATTCCTAATAATTCTTGAAGGCCCTGCAGCATCCCGATTCAGTCTTTGGAAGGTGTTTTTCCTGCCTCAGAGTTCTCAGAAGCACAGACGATGAAAGCAGGGCCTGCTGAGAAACCACAGCTTTCTGTAGGGCTTTGCATATTCATCTGTAAGCTGAAATAAGGATGAAGCACTTTAAGAAGAGAGGGAGCAAAAGTGACGGATGTGGTTTTGCTGCTGCTGGCTTTTTTCTTACTGTTTTCTGGAGCTTCCTTGTGCTGCACTGTAAATGCCTACGTCACTACACAGCTTAGGACAGTGCCATTTCAATGCCCAAGGAACCTGTTTTCAGAAAGCATTGCGCCAGCCGTGCAAAAGGGCTTCTCTCCAGAGGTGTGCTGGGAAGGCAGATGTGTAAATTTTTTATCAGCCATAAAGGGATTCAGCTATCTGTCAGCAGAGAACAGGCTGAACTTAGATAAGCCACTTGCCAATTTGTGATAGATGTACATAAATGCAGATAACACTCCAATCCTTCGTTAAAGCAGAGACGGTTCCTTTGATTTGAATGACATAGCTTTGCATTCACCCTGGGAGAATGAGGTACCACACGGATACTGTAGACTTGGTTGTGCACACCCCAGGTCACAATGATAAAAAAAATATGAGAAAAACTTGTTAAGACTGTGGAAAATGTAACCTCACTGCCTTAGCCTGTGGTCTCCACTATTAGTAAGTGGGTCCCGTTCTGGGTCAGCAATATTGGAACAGCCCTTCCAGTGCTTGGTTTGTGACTGTGCACGTGGCTTCCGCTATGTCCACACAGGACACAGACCAAGCTATTTTATTCCTGTTTCTGACTGGTATGTCAGTGCTGCTTAGAGCTCCGGCCAGAGGTCAGGCTCCCTGGACACCTGCTGCTACACAAATGCAGAACAAGATGGTCCTGTTGTGGATAGCTTTGGGCTTTACAGCATCTGACAGCCATCCTCTCTAACAACAAGTTCTGATGTAGATAGATGTACACATTCCCATTCAGTCTTGGCTATCACATCACTTGGAGCCTCTGGGAGCATGGTCTGATGTCCTCTTCCCTTCCTGAGACGCCAGCAGGATGTTTAGCTTCCACCTGTCAAGCTCCAGCAAAGACCCACACAATTAAATAAACTAAATGCTTTTTTATCAGAAACAGAACAGAACTTTGTCTCCAACATGCGTTTCCTGCACACTAAAAAGTCTTACCTCTGCCTGTGTTGGCAGGGAAAGGAGCTTTCAGACAGGTCTTATGCCGTCTGTTAGCCACCATGTCAACACGTGACAGCACCTAGTCTCATCATCCAATGCTCCTTCGAAAGACATTGAACTGCTGCTGTAAGGATGGTTCTACAGCAATGAGACTACAATAGTAATCAAACTAGATGAAAATAAAAAGTATTCAGCAGAGGCTAATATTGCACCTAGCGCTATACAAAGCAGAAGAAATGAGACCTCAGATCCTCTTGTAATGCAGGATCTGGCTGCAATCAGCATGTTGTTCAAGAACCTATGGCCAAATCCAACTACTTAAAGTTTTTAAGCCTACCTGCGATGTCTTGACAGAGCAAGTTTAAGGCGTGACAGAACAATGAGTTGTACTGGCAGGCTGCAGGGAGCTGTAAGCTCTTCATCCCTGAGAAACATCCACAGCAGCACTTCCAACCAAAGCCACGGCGCACTCATCGCTGCTCTCATCCCTTGAAAAGCCTGAAGAAAAAGGATGGTCCATGGTTAGGAAGTCAAGGACAGCCATTCCGGGTTTTGGTTTCCTTTCTTTGTCATATGTCTGCTAGGAAATTTTGAGCACGGCACGCGCATGCCAGATGCAGGGAGCAGCACGGGAATTTCATTCTACATGAAATTCCCACGAAAGGTATGGATACTCACACAGATATGGTGAATCTTGGCCTTATTCTCTCTGCTCTTCATGAACTAGAACAAAGGGCATTTATTAACTTGCCCTGGTTGCTGAGAGGTTAAGGGCATTTAAAAGCTGCGAGACATTCAGACAGTACGATAATGGGGTCGTAGAAGATGAACAGCAAGATAGATGTCACAGAGAACTTTCTGCCTCCTGTTTGTCAGCTTTATTCGTTTCAAAGGAGAAGAAACCAAAACCTAATCAAGACAATTACGAAGGTTCATCGAGCTTGTCTGTCAGCACAAAATCTTATGAACTTTTAATAGGAAAAAGAATACTTACGAGTTACCAAGAAAAACGTATGTAACTTCTGTGCCCTCTATTGGCATCTGCAAAGCAGGCTTTTCTGAGGAGCTGCTCCAGTTATTCTCTGAAAAAAAAAAAAAAAGATATTTCACTGCCCTCCCTTACCAGTCATCTGTTTAGTAAACTATTTCAAAGTAGTGAAAATTATTATTTTATTTTATTCTCAGAAAAATAAAATGCCAAAGTGAAGGCTACTGTGTCACCAAAATCTACCAAACACCTTGACTTCATTTCACAGGTACTTGCAAGCAAATTCTTTGCTGCTTCAGGAAAAAAATTTAAATTATTTTTAAAAATCAATTAAAAGGGAGTAAAATTCTCCTGGGTCTGTTACATGATTAAATATTCTTCCCTACAAAATGCCAAATAGTTCCTATATGTGTTATCCACAAGATGTAGCACCATATGGTGGAGGCAGGAAGCGAACAGATGAGTTTCTCTCACTACAGGGAAAACAAACAGTAAATAGAATTACATGCAAGTCAATTGTTTGGTTTCACACAGACTTCTAACTGGACTACCACATTCTGTGGCTTGTAGCTTCAGATGCTGGCACTTCAAAGGGAAACGGAGATGAGACTAGTACAGACATGGGAAATTAGGATCTTACATGGCTTCTATCTGCAACGAAAGCTTACCCAGGAAATCAAGGCCAAGGGTTCATTGAAAAATCAGTACCATGTTTGCTTAGTTTTGATCCCACGTGCACCTGAACTCAAAATGGTTCCTAGATTCCTTATAACTTTACTTCACGGTATCCAAAAAACTGAACTAGAAACTGTTACGGAAACTGGTATATTAAGAAACACAGTGCCTTTGCACATCTATAGAGCAAGAGTTAATCTAAAGAGCATCAGCTAGAGACACAAAATAATGTGTAGTGTTGTTCTGAAGTAACTAAATGTAAGCAAAAAGGGATTTTGTTTAGTTCATCCAGCCCTTATGAAGATTCTGTTCTGCCTGCATTCTGTGTTCCGGGATTTTGGGGGATTTATCAGTAGCCCTGCTTCTCAAGGTGTTCGCAAAAGGGCCTTGCTCTGACTCTCAGGAGATCCAGTCTCATTTCCTGATGGGCCACCTTCTCTCCTAGGTCTGGCTTCTGGAGATGAACGCAAACCCAGCACTGCACACCAACTGCAAAGTCTTGCAAGATGTCATCCCAGCTGTGGTCTATGAGAGTCTTGGTAAGTGAACAAGTCACAGGATGGCCAGCAGCAGCTGGTCACATCATTCCACTGCTTGTCCAAGGAAAGACTCCTGTTTATACCAGTTGCAGGTCCAAACCAATCTTTGAATAAAGATCTCTCACTGCTGAGCTTATAAGCAACTTAGCAGGCACGGAAAATTCTAATCCACGCAGACCTAGAAAAGCTATGGTCTTTTTAGTCATGCACCCATTAAAAAGAAATAAGTGATTACATTTTTTTTTAGTTATAATTGTTTTTAAGAGTGCTTTCTTATATATTCATGTATAAAAGGCTAAATCTTAATACATGACTCTACAAGCTGCACCTGCACGTTTTTCTCATGCTTGTTGTTCTCAATGTGCAGGAGTTTAAGCTGGTTTGCACAGCGTGGCTCACACAGCCCTGGCAGTGCTTAAATGCCAGCGCAGCCCACTGACTTCACTAATACAGCTGGCAACTGGCACAGGAACTACACAAAGACTGAAAAAATCCTTACGAAGTCTGATATACGTTAACTAGACCTGGTCCTGCCTGGAGGACCAAAATCTCTTTCACCCCGACTTTCTGTGATATCACTGTACGTGTAAGAAGTAGCAAAGGGAGAGTCTGGGTCTGCATGAAAGGTGTTAGCAATAGCCTGCTTACGCTTACTTTCATAGCGACAGTTACCTTCCTGTGCATATGTGTGTTTATTTTGGGGTGTATTCATACCCTGTATTGCATTGTAAGCAATTTTACAATATTTTTCCTACTAATTTCCTAAAACTTTTCCAGTGGAGCTGAAGCTGGCTGAAGTGAATGCAAGAAAAGTGTAGTTGGTTGAGTGTTTTTTTGCCTTTTTTTTGTTTTCTTAATAGTAATAGTCCACAGAGGCCACAGATCACAGGTTGGAAACCACTTCCCCTCCCCAGCCCTCGTCCTTCCCACGCACGCAGCTGCTTGGTGTGAACACATGACGGCTTGGGTGTATTTCAGCGTCAAGAGCGTTTAGCCCATCTCAGCTCTGCCTCTTCTTTTCTAGACTTGGTTCTCGAGGTTTTCAACAAGCGCCTCAAAGGCCAGAGCGTTTTGCCTTTAGAGACACGCTGCCATTTTGTGCTTCTCTACCATGAGGATGCTGCAGACCTTGGCCAGAAACCACCCTGGAAGCCCAGAGCTGGCCTGCGTACAGGCCAATATCTGCGGCCACACAGAGGCAGTACCAGCGACCACGGTCAGAGCCCTGCCAAAGTGCTGAAGAACTCTTCCAAGAAGCCTGGTTGCTCTAGAGAAAAGGTTGCCTCGTTGCCCAGAATTGTCAACAAACTGTTCTAACTGTACCACACGCGCAGCTCTTCAACCACCATGGAAAAACCCTCTGAACCATTATAGAGCAAGAGGGTTTTCACAAGTTCAGAAGACATAAAAAGAAAATAAAAGCTAAACCTCTATATGCTGTGCATGTCCAGCTCATTTTCACCTTATATAAACAAAAAAGGCATCAACTTCAACTGGAAAAGCAGTAACTATTTCTATAAGTACCTGGTTCTTCTGTAGAAAGTAATACTTTAACTAGCCAGCCAGAAATTACAGGGGAGTTAGTTACAGAAAATGAGACAACTGTCACCACGTTAAAACTTATCCCTTTTAAAAACGATGTTGATCTGACTGGTGCGATCCAGACACAGGTCAAACTTCTTACACACAAAGTCCTTCTACAAAAAGGCAGGGAGAGAAGCTGCAAAGACCAAACCTAAGGCTTAACAGTGGAAATCCCCCCGTTTGTCCCATCATTTGTAGCTGTCATGCCCAGCTCCCTCACTCATTAGATTCTCTGTGCCTTGCACATTTAGCTTGTCCCATCATTTGTAGCTGTCATGCCCAACTCCCTCACTCATTAGATCCTCTGTGCCTTGCACATTTAGTCTCGCTATATTAAGACTCTCTTTCATTTTTCTTTTGGTTGAGGTGACAGCCAAGCAGCAGCCA